ATGAATTAAACAAGAGTATAGAATTTAAAATAGTTATAAATGAAGAAAATAAAATTAAATTAATAAACAATTTGTAAATTTGTTGATAAATCGATTATTATGCTTTTTCATTGATTTCTTCTTTTGTACTTTTTCAAGATGTTAGTCCTGATTGTTCCACTTTGTGGTTGTGTTGTAATAATATGATATGGTATTTTAGTTTTGATAAAATTATACAAATTAATAATTAGAATAATAATATAATAACATAAAATAAACAAACATTTTGAGAAGGGAAAATTACAATTTCAAGAAGTTAAGAAATATGAGATGAACGAGGAGACGAAAAATAAATCTATTTTCTTGTACTATTTTTTTATTCATCAGAAATATGTCAAAATCTAATAATAACGAAAACATGCTCGTTCATTGAACTTCTTCTTTCTATTTCATAAATGAGAATATGTCTCATCAAATATAAAAGTAATTTAGTTGTAACAATTCATTTTTCTCTTGTATATTAATCTAATATTATCAATAAACAAAATTATTGATAAAGTAACGTTTTATACACAATGATTATTTGTTTATTTACATCAACATATTGGATAAATCAACCTTTATCATTACTTATTAATTGTATATTTAAATATGTTAGTTTCTTAATTCTTTAATTGATGTTTATTTTTTCACTTGTTTATTAATGTCTCTGTTCTTTCAAAATAATCTTTCATCACTTCTTTATCAATTTTCCTTTTTGTTCTTTTATTTGACAAATATGGATTTGTTTAAAAGAAATTGAATTTCTAATATAATCACTAAGTTGTTTTGATGATATATCATATCTATTTAAGTTTAATAAATAATATTTAATATCATTTATTGTTTGTACTATAGATTTGTATTATCTTATCTTAATAAAATCACATAATCAAATATGTATTTCATCACTTATTAATGACATCCTCAATTCTTTTTTTTCAGTTGATCAATCTGTATTAATACTTCTCAGCCTTTCTTTTTTTGAACCTAGATATATGAAATAATAAATGGTTCAAAATTAATTGAAATGTAAAGATGTTAGATAATTAAATGAATCAAAGATATTTATTATTCTAAGAATTTAAATTTTATAATTGAATTTTTTATTTTCTCATATATTTCTTTAATTCATTTAAATTACAAATATTTAATATTGTAGATGACAATGACTTATTTTGTTGATTAATTGACATTGAATATGATATTGAATTATAAAAAAATAATAAAAATAAAGATAAAATCTAATTTATATAATATACCAATTATATATCAATATAATAAACCAATATAAAATAATAGTAATATCAAGAGATTATATTAGAGTAATTATAAAGAATAGATATTGAATTTAAACTGTAATAATAGAAAATGAGTTTTTTTAAAAAAAAAAGAAAATAAGAGAAATAGAAAGAGATAGTACAAAGTATATTCTAGATGCTAAAAAGTGTGTAGAAAGTATTGAAATATATGTCATAGTTAAACACACAATAAGAAAATAAAGAAGAAAGACATGAGGAAAAAAAATAAATTTAGAAACAATATTCAAATCATTCAGTTAATAAAAATAAAAATAAAATAAGAAAAACGAACTATAAATAAGAATGTACATAAAGTTGAAATTAATAGTTCTTTTCAAATCAAAAAGTATAGTCATGAAGTTCTTTCACCTCTCTATATCTAACTAATCCAATAAAATGACTTTATTATTAGTTTCAATACCAATTATAAGTTTATTTAACAAATTGTTATTTATAATGAAATAGTTATTGATAATTTGGAAATTGTGAATAAAGTCATTGAATGAATACAAATTATGATGATATTAGTGAATGTTTTTATTCAATTAGTATAAGTAATGATAATTATTATATTATTAATGTATTTATATATTTCTTTAAATCAAATTCATTATGTTATTATAAAAATGAAACAATAAATATTATCCATAAAATAAGTATGTTAATGTTATGTGAATTGTTTGCAGCCTGTTGTATTATTCGACCAGTGTTCAGGTGTATATTTAACACCACATAACCAACAGAATTCATATCCACATTTACATGTCATATGATTACACCCTCCATTCTTTTGGATTCTGTCACCACAACTTGGACATTTTTTTGTATTACTATTAATCCATTCCATATCTTCTTGTTCCTGTTGTTTGTGTGTTGCCCATTCCTCACAAGTTTTTCCTTCATGCCATTGTTCTCTACATTTTCTACAAAACAAATACATACATTTTGGACATGTAGTTTTATATTCTTTATCAAACGATATCATTTCACATTGACATTTTGGACATTCACAAATATTATCTTCAAATGTTTTAAATGTGAGTCTTTCAGAATACATATTGAACATATTAATATCGGGAATTAAACAATGTGTCATAATGTCTTCTATTTCACAGTACAAGACATCCTTGTTCATACAATGAACTTGGTGCAGTCATTTGAATTTGTTGTA